TCTCTCTCTGTTGGTGCGCGGGGCTAATGCTAATAATGCTAATGCCAGCAAATAAAATGGCGGCTTCACAAAACTTTTCCGTGTTTACGGGGCGTGGTTTGCAATCCGCCCAGCCAATGGGAACCTTTTTCTCCCAGGAAAGTACCTGCTCTCTAGCAGGGACTGAAAAGGGGGTGGAAAGGTTCTCATGAACAAAGTTCTAGTTCTGGATTTTTTTTTTGTGAACGCAACATTTCAAGAACTATCGGAACTATACTGGGAAAAGTACTCCGGTGTGAAAGCGCCTTATGTCTCAAACACTTGGTAACTCCCCCAAAACAATGTAGATTGATAAATAACACTCAAGGTTATTGGTTTTTGAGTTGAACTGTCCCTGTAAACATGTGTGAGATTTAACACTGTGATTATTTGACTCTTTATTTGTGTTTTTGTGGCATCCTTTTTATTCGACATCTGTCTTTGTGTCTCTCCAGCGCGTGGTGAAGGCGGACATCGTGAACTACAGTCAGGACACCATTGCCAGGACAGTCAACCCCCCCCGTAGCTCCATGTGTGTGTTGCAGTGACGCCTCCAGCAGTCACACACACTTGTACACACACACAAAGTCACACTTAAAATTGCCTTCAGTCAGTATTCCTCTGAAATGTGTTCAGAGTGTGTTCTCTGTTTTCCTGTGTGTCAGTTGTACGGGTGAGAAAAAGAACAGACTGTGTGGTTTTCAAGACCTTGGCCTCCAGTTCGGATATTTAGCAGGAACGATTTCTTGGGTGGTTCACCAAAAAGGAAACGGGACCTCTTTTTTTCAAGTTTACGCGCAGCTATGATTTAATTTCTATGATTCACCTTAAATAAATATAAAAATAAGACTTGATTATGTGTTAGTATGAAGCCTGTAGAACCCAGGTGTCAAGCTGAGCTGAAACGTACCACATCTCATTAGAAGTCTCTGCATAGCCTTATTCAGCTGTCCGTTATAGAACAGAAGTTTGCATTTAAAATGGTTATTATGACGCATGAAAAGCTTCATAGGATCTCCATTTTGACCACATTTCATTAGCCTGTTAGGCAGTATGTGTATTGTTGTAGACAGTTGGGAAATTGTGCGTTTGACAAGTGAAAGTAGTTTCTACATGCTAGTACATGTTGGCATGATTTAATGTGTTGTCTACCTACAGAAATATCCGCCATATGTGTCAAATATGTATTTGTACAAGTAAAGCTGCTTTCATTGATGAGACGTGATCATCCTGTAAATTCTCATCATGTAAACAAAATGTACGCTTTAAAAAAAAATTAAGAATGTACAGTTTTAAGTAAATGTTTAGTTTACCTTAAACAGTGACACAGTTGTGTTTCTAAATAAAAATGCTACATGGAAAACAAGAAAAAGGTTTTTGCAGTGAATTTGTTGGTGCATGATTTGTGATGTGATATTGTTTTTCGAGTAAGCTATTCTTATAAACAATAGAACATCTGAAGGTGTTTTTTTTTTGTAAAGGTCTTACATATATTTATTTTGCCTGCCATTAGCAGTGATGTTTTTTTTGTTCTTCATTCAATTGATTTCTTTTGGACAGGGACGTTATAGAGCTTGTAGATAACAAGTATATGTGTACAGGATTCAGTTTAATCCTTCTTAAGGAGTCTGACCTTCTGTAAAGATTTTAATGACCGCTAGCCACAGAAATGAACAACAAGTTGTGGAAAAAGATCCTTTACCTAAGTCACTTCACTGGGAAACAACACTGAACTGCGATTACAAGTATTTTCTAAGTTGAATATGCAACTGTTTTCAGCTAAATCCTGCAGGAAAATGATCCTGTGAGATGTATAGAAGTAATAGTATCTACAAAGCAGAAATTAAAATACTCAAGTAAAGTTCCTCAGATGTACTTGAGCTTCTTAGTTATATTCCACCACTTCTAGGAACCTCATTGTCTCATAATAGGTGAGTTTTGATTCAAGCAAGAACTTGAATAAACCTAAAGAAAACAATCCTTTTCAATCCATCCATTGTCTTCAACTTATACAAGTTCAGGTTTCATCACCAGGGAGTTATTGTTCTATACTGCTGGGAAGTACTGAAAAAACATGTGAAATAATAATAAATAATTCTCAGCCACATCTTCCTAACCAGTTTTCCTTCAGACTTTCACTCTTAAAAAAGTACTACAGTGTTATGTATGATCTCTGTGTCTTTTTCAAGCACATGGCTGTCGGATAAAATGTGCTATATAAATAAACTTGACTTGACTCTATGTGGAATTAAAATGTAATTTGTTGAACCCTGCAAAAACCTTGAATTAGCAAATGAAGTGAGTTGAGTGTAGTTTTACTAAAATACGAGCTCTATGAATGTGTGCAGGCCTTCTCATCACTCAGCCTTTGTTTAGCTTGTTACCACATCGGAGCCTCGGTTTCAATGCAATTTTTCACTCCACGCTGCGAACACAAACCCACTCCTACAGGCCCGGAGGTGCTCATGTGAGCGGCAGGTGAAGGGAACTGGACTATAGCTGATGAAGGCATTACAGATTAAGGATCCATGTGTTGAAATTGAAGCATAAGGACTGAAACTTGACCACCCCAGAGATCCCCTTCTATACAGACCCAGCTAAGTCTCTGGTAGCTAATGAGCCACCTGGTCTTTGTTCAGTAAGTCTTCCCTAAAACAGCGCCTAAATCCACTCTGGACAGGTGATACAAACGGCTTTATAAATGGTTGTAAGCTGTATTAATTAATCACCTAAATAGTCTGGCCTTTTGTTGCTGTCACACAACTGTAAGAGTTTCTTCTTTTCTTTTTTTTGCTGAGTCAATGTCATTGAAGCAACTGCTTTATTTAGAAGGATTAAGTGCATTCGAAACCAAGGACACAAACAAAACAAAGACTTTCTTTCCGGGAATGTCTTGCATTTGACCTTCTTCCAGGTGTTTTTAAAATGTGTGTTGCAGAGCACAAACAACACAAAGACTTAAAGAAGAGAGCCCAGCTGGGGTCACTCCAGCACATGTGCATTGTTTCGCTTGAGTGGACGTCTTAGGAATTGTCTCTGCTGAATTTTTGTCAAGAGCTGTCAACGACGCTGACAGCCGAGACTTGCCCTTGGCTTTGCTGCTGTTTAGACAGGTGTTTTTGCAAAGAAAACAACTGCAGCCCGTTTCCAGCTTAGACGCTCATCACACTGACGTTCCTCAAAAGACGGAAGGAAAGAATATCACGGATAATGCCTGGGAAGGGTGAGGCCTTTTTGACAGATTGACAAAGGTCAAGGCCGATTTGCGTCCAAATGAATTTGTCTAGCTGTTTCCTCCAGTCGGTTTGTGTGTTAGTCGGTTTTGGTGTTTGCTCACTCTCCGTTTGGGTACACATACCAGCGAAGATGCCGAAGTAAACAGACAAACAGTATTTGTTCATATTTAGTCGACCACACTGACACATTACATTTGCTCGCTACTTTGTAGTCTCAGAATAAGTTTGGGTCCACCGTGAAACCCAAACACTTCCTCCCTGTGAAGCTCTTTGCCTCTTCTCCCAGCTTCCAGCCTGTGTTGACTTTATTCAGCGGGCACACATCCTGCTTTTCTGTGTTTCTCTTTCCTCTTCCTCCGCGTCTGTGTTTCTCATTTGCTGAGCGCCTGTGATGACAGTCTCAAGAAACCACACACGACAGGCTGGTAAGAGGGCCCATAGTTGTGGGTTGTGCTTTTTTGTGTGTGGGCAGAACAGGGCCAACACCCTCATGATTACCCACTCACCCTCTTCCGTTTTCCACCTGTGCCGAGTGCCAGACCCACAGTGCAGAGGGAGTAGCCAGGACTGAGTCAACCCCTCTGATGAGCTCCAGTCCCCCTGGTCCCCACACTGGCTCCTATTCTCTGGGAGGAATGACAGGCGAGGGGGGGGGCTGGCATCCCAGAGCCAGCTAACCTCCGCTCCCATGGTACTGTAACGGATCACTCTCCTCAGTTGTCTGTGGGCAGAGATGGCAAAAGTACACACATCGTTTACTCAAGTAGAAGTACAGATACTCGTGTAATTGTAGAAGTACTGACCAAGCTTCTTTACTCGAGTAAAAGTAAAGAAGTATGGGCTTCGAAATGTACTTAAGTGAAAAGTACCCTTAACTACCAGCTGTTTTAAAGAGTACCTGATTTCCCTTTATATTAATAG